CTCCTTCCTGTTGCTGAATTTGGACTGTTTTGACTTTGCTGCTTCTCCTTCCCACTGACCTCGGCTTGCCTGACTACGATTATCATCTTTCTGTTCCAGTCTCCCATCTCTGCTTAAGACCAGAAGGCCACTCAAGGCTCAGGGGCTCAACCACCTGGGTAACGAGTGGCTACCTCTGGCAGAAAACATTGCTGATCTGGCTACTGGACTCCAAAACTTTGTAACATCAATATCATTACAGAATAATCTGGCCCATTCATGGAGACCGTCGGATCAGATTCTGCATTGGCCCAGCAGGTTGCTTTTAATGCAAGAACTATGCAGACCCAGGCACAGACCATTCAAGTGCTGCAGGATCAGGTAGCTGAACTGCAAAATGAAGTTCGATCAATGCATAGTGAGCTTACCAGCTACAGGGCACATGATGTTGCGGCTGCTGCTACTACTACTGTTACACCTGCACAAGATGCCCGCTTGCCTCTACCAGAAAAATTTGGAGGAGACCGCAAAAAATTCAGGGGTTTCCTAAATCAATGCCGTTTGCATTTCATGATGTTACCTAACCGTTTTCCATCTGAAAGAGAGAAAGTGGGATTTATTTTTTCCCTCTTCAAAGATGAAGCCCTGGCCTGGGGCTCCCCTTTTCTGGAACAGGACAGTCCAATCTTGGGAAACTTAAAAGACTTTCTTGAGGCCATGTGCCTAGTTTTTGATGATCCCAATCGCTGTGCTACAGCAGAAGCCACTCTCCTTCATTTACATCAAGGGAGGCGATCTGTGGCTGAATATGCTGCTGAATTCAGACAGTGGGTTACTGATACTACTTGGAACCAATCAGCCCAGAGGTTCCACTTCAGAAGGGGTCTCTCAGAAGCTATAAAAGATGAGCTAGCTCGTGTTGATCTTCCTGTTGAGTTTGATGCATTTGTGCGGTTGGCTATCCGTATTGATCGGAGACTTTCAGAAAGAAGATTGGAAAGACAGGGCTCTTTTAAACCAAGTGCTACTCCTACTTTCTATTCAAGAATTTCTACTCCGACCCCACAAACACCTACAGACTCTGAACCTGAGGCTATGCAGGTAGATCTAATAAGAGGGCCATTATCCAATGAAGAAAAACAGTGGCGACGCACTCACAACTTATGCCTGTATTGTGGTAGTGCAGGGCATTATGCCATCAAGTGCCCCTAACAAGTCTAAAAGAACAATAGCTATGACTGCTGAGGGTGCACAGATTCAACACCAATCCCAGATTTCAGACCAACTGGATTCTGTCACACAACCCTTGTTTTCTCTGGCTCAGGGTGAAGAAGGTATGATGACTCAACATCCTCATTTGGTGGTGCCTATCACTTTGCAATATGGTAATAATAAAATTTCAACTACAGCTATGATAGATTCCGGAGCAGGCGGAAACTTTATGGACATTAAATTTGCAGCAGGAAATAAAATTCAGTCTATCCCTAAATCTTCACCTGTGTTAATGGAAACAGTAGACGGTTCTCCATTTACGTCAGGCCTGGTTACACATGAGACTGTGCCCTTAAAATTGATTCTGGAAGTGAATCACCATGAGTCTATATCTTTCCACCTAATTTCCTCAACACAGTTTCCAGTGATTTTGGGTATACCCTGGCTTGCTCTGCATAACCCACAGATTGATTGGAAGACTAGAACTTTGTCCTTTCCTTCAGAACACTGCTTAATGAATTGTCAACCCTCTAAGGTGACACCTGTTACCACAACAATTAATGAAATGGTTGCTACAAACTTTACTAAGCTTCCGCTACAATATCAGGATTTTGCAGATGTCTGTGATAAGAAGAATGCTGATCAGCTTCCACCTCACAGGCCTTATGATTGCCCCATAGAGCTGCTACCTGGAGCTGCTATCCCATTTGGCCATATATACTCCCTTTCTGAGCCTGAATTGAAAGCACTTCATGAATACATACAAGAAAATCTTGCCAAAGGCTTTATTCGACCATCCACTTCTCCAGCAGGAGCTCCTATATTCTTTGTAGAAAAGAAAGATGGCAGTCTACGGCCATGTGTCGATTACAGGGACATTAATAAAATCACTGTTAAAAACCGTTATCCCTTGCCTCTCATTTCTGAACTTCTGGAGAGACTTCGTTCAGCTAAAATATTTACGAAGCTTGATCTACGGGGGCATATAATCTGGTTCGCATAAGACCAAATGATGAATGGAAAACAGCTTTCAGAACCAGGTACGGACATTACGAATATCTAGTAATGCCATTTGGGCTTTGTAATGCCCTGCAACTTTTCAGCATCTAATCAATGATGTACTACGGGATCTCCTGGATCAGTTTGTTGTGGCATATTTGGATGATATCCTGATATTTTCTGATAATCTTGAAAATCACAGAAAACAGGTCTGCATTGTTCTTGAGCGCCTTCGTACCCACCACCTATACATTAAGCTGGAAAAATGTGAGTTTGAACAAACAGAAATTCAGTTCCTGGGGTATGTAATAACTCCTAAAGGTTTAAGTATGGACGCAAGTAAAATTAAAGCTGTGCTGGACTGGCCCATCCCCAAGAATGAAAAAGATATACAGAGATTTGTGGGGTTTGCCAATTTTTACAGGCGTTTCATTAAGAATTTCTCTGCCGTTATTACACCGATCACTGAACTTACACGTAAAGGGACTCCTTTTCAGTGGTCCAATAAGGCTGACACTGCATTTTCCAGATTAAAGACTCTGTTTACATCTGCCCCTATCTTGGTACATCCTCAGCCAGAATTGCCATTTACTGTAGAGGTAGATGCTTCTGATTCAGCTGTTGGGGCTATACTATCTCAAAGGACTGGACCTAAGATGTTGTTACATCCATGTGCCTTCTATTCCCGCCAGATGTTACCAGCAGAAAGAAATTATGACATAGGGAATAAAGAACTTTTGGCTATAAAAGCTGCCTTCACCGAATGGAGACATCTCTTGGAGGGAGCCACCCATCCAATTACTGTCCTCACAGATCACAAAAATCTGGAATGTATCCAATCCGCTAAGAGACTGTCAGCCAGACAAGCACGCTGGTCCCTATTTTTCTCAAGGTTTAATTTTTTTATTTCATACCGCCCTGGTTCCAGAAATGGCAAGTCGGATGCCTTGTCTAGGATAGCTGACCCCCTCCATACTACAGTAACCAAGGCCACCATCTTGCCGGAGAGCAGATTTTTAGGAGTTACCTTTCCTTCTGATCTAATGTCTCGCATTAAAAAGGGCTACTCTAAAGATCCAGTTTTTCGTGATCCTCCTCGTGATCTTCATATGACCATGCTTAATGGGTTTTGGATTTTTCAACAGCGTCTGTTTGTTCCAGAATCAGTGCGACTGGACGTTTTACGCCTCTACCATGACTCTAAACCAGCAGGTCATCCAGGAATCCGAAAGACACAAGAACTACTTACCCGATCCTTTTGGTGGCCTAAATATTATGAGGATGTTAAGAAGTATGTGTCATCTTGTGATGTATGTGCCAGACATAAAACTCCTCGCTCATCCCCTGTTGGCTTGCTTCAGCCTCTTCCGATTCCTCATCGTCCCTGGGATCTATATCCATGGACTTTATTGTGGAACTACCTCCCTCTAAGGAACACACTACTATTCTTGTTGTTGTGGACCGGTTAACCAAGATGAGTCATTTCATACCAGCTCGTGGTCTCCCTTCAGCTAAACAGACTGCTGACCTTGTTATTCGGGAAATATTTCGCTTGCATGGAGTGCCTGATGAAGTAATTTCTGACAGGGGAGTGCAGTTTACAACTCATTTTTGGAAATATTTTTGTTCTATTCTAGGTATTAATGTAAATCTGTCTTCAGCTTTTCATCCACAAAGTAATGGACAGGCTGAGCGAACCAACCAGACTTTAGAACAATATTTGCGGTGCTATATTAGTTACCTGCAGGATGACTGGCTGGATTTTCTACCCACGGCGGAGTTTGCCTATAACAATGCCCAACACTGCTCCACTTCTCTGAGCCCATTTTTTGCCAATTATGTTTACCATCCAACCTTTCTAGTGAGTCTCCCAATTACTACTCCCATTCCTGCAGTCACTGACCGGCTAACCGCCTTACGAGATTCCCAAGAACTGTTGAAGGAGACTCTTTCGAAGGCTCAGGAATGTTACAAAAGAGCTGCTGATAGGCACAGAAAGGAGGCCCCAGTTTATCATGTTGGTGACAAGGTTTGGCTGTCAACAAAGAATCTTAAGCTTAGGATTCCTTCTCATAAATTGGGTCAAAAGTTCATGGGACCTTTTAAGATAATCTCTCAGATCAATGCAGTCACCTTCCGTCTGCAACTTCCGGATTCCATGAAAATACATCCGGTGTTTCACGTGGCACTGCTTAAACCTTTTCATGAAAATACTTTCCCTGGTCGAGCCTTGCCTGCCCCACCACCAGTCCTCGTGGATGGTGAAGATGAATACGAGGTGGAAAAAATTCTTGACTCCAGGATCTTCCGCAACAAGCTTCAATACTTGGTTCATTGGAAAGGCTATGGTGAGGAGGATAGATCATGGGAACCAGTGGACAATATTCATGCTCCTGATCTTCTTCAGTCTTTCCATGCACAGTACCCTGCTAAACCAGGAAATAGGGCATCCAGAGGCTGCGCCTGTAGAGGTGGAGGTAATGTGAGGAACTGACTCTGCTGGGTTTCGAACCCTCATTTACATGGTGCTAAACCTCTTCCTTACCAGTACACCAGCCTGCCTTTTGCAAATTTACCTGAGATCTGATACCATTGCTTGTAGAGTCAAGGTTATCAGTGACAACTCACTTCAGCTGTGTCTAGTCAGGTGTCTGGTTCGTGGCCTATAAAAGCCACTTCCTGTCTCTTTACCTTTGCCAGATTATTGTGGTTCCTGTACTCTCTAATCCAGCGTGTTCCTGTTTCTCCTTCCTGTTGCTGAATTTGGACTGTTTTGACTTTGCTGATTCTCCTTCCCACTGACCTCGGCTTGCCTGACTACGATTATCATCTTTCTGTTCCAGTCTCCCATCTCTGCTTAAGACCAGAAGGCCACTCAAGGCTCAGGGGCTCAACCACCTGGGTAACGAGTGGCTACCTCTGGCAGAAAACATTGCTGATCTGGCTACTGGACTCCAAAACTTTGTAACATCAATATCATTACAAAGGCCTTAGCAGAAGACGTCGACTTTGGCAGTCCAGCAGAGTCACGGTACTGGGCTATTTTTTATTACCGGGGTGAGATGGTACAGGGCCCGAGATCTATGGGACTGGGACAAGACCTCCACCGTTTGGCTGCCATGGAACGACAGCTAGAGATGGACTATGTGGAACTACTAAACTCATGTCAGCCACAGGGCATAGACACAGAACAGGAAAACTGTCGGGGAGACCCAGACCTGCCAACCTACAGCTGGGAAAACGCAGCCGAGGTACCCCCTGCTTCACTACCAGCGGCAGAAGTAGGGGACCTCATAGACTGGTCCTGGGAAGACCCACAGATGGCAGGTGGAGATGGGATGGCGGTCTCTCTACCGGCCCTACAGGGATGCTGGGCGGTCGGCCCAGATCTCAAGCGGCAGTGTGTACCCCAGGGAGCAGAAGGTGCAGTCCTTCCTCCCCAGCGGCAGTGTGTCCTGCAGGAAGTGGAGACAGTCGGTCTCGCTCCCCAGCAGCAGGGCAATATATTAAAAGGGGAGACAGTTGGTCCCCCTCTCCAACAGCAGAGAGAGTGTCAGGGAGAGGAGCTTCTTATCCCCTCTCCCCAGCGGCTGAAAGTATGTATGGGAGAGGAGCTCGTTACCCCCCCTCCCCAGCGGCAGCGTGTACCCCAGGGAGATGAAGGTGCCGTCCTTCCTCCCCAGCGGCAGTGTGTACCCCAGGAAGCAGAGACCATCTGTCTCGCACCCCAGCCGCAGGACAAAATATTGAAAGGGGAGACAGTTGGTCCCCCTCTCCACCAGCAAAAGAGAGTGTCAGGGAGAGGAGCAGGTTACCCCCTCTCCCCAGCGGCAGTCTACAGTTCAGAGAGAGGAGCTTGTTACACCCTCTCTCCAGCGGCAGCCTAACCCACCAAGGGGAGATGTTAAGCCCCACAACTATGCAGATGGGACCGTAGTCTCTGCACTTGCAGCACCAGGGGTAGGGACGGTCGGTCCTGTCCCCCAGCCACAGAGTAGTGTATCCAGAGGGGAGACAGTAGGTCTCCCCCTCCCACAACCAGGCTACTTCAGTGGTAGCGCTGGCACCCGGGTAGAGTACCGCTGGTCTCTGCCCACTCAGCAACCCACCAAGGCAGTCTACCAGCCCCCCGCACAGCTGTGGTGAGGCACCTGGACATGGACAAGTTGCTATTTTATCCAGGTGTAGTAATCAGTTATTGTGGGTGGGCTGTATTGCTGTTTGTGCTTCGTGGGTGGGTTGCTGGACTAACCAGGGCACTGACCGGCAGGAGGTCAGATACCCTGTTAGTTTGGATGGTAAAGGGGAGAAATGTGGCGAAACCGGCCTCGCCACGTGTCCATGGAGGGGGCTGCTTGCCCGCCTCTTGCCTTTGGACTATGGACCAGACTTTATGTGAATGTGTTATACCCCAGATAGGAATCCCATGGAGCCCATTCGTATGAAACGGACTGTAAAGACTTTGGCTCCATGGCGATTAAACTGTATTTGTGTGGTCCGAGCGCCATTCACTTAATAATGTGCGCTCAGACCTGAGCTATCTGGGGATATGTGAAATGTCTGTGTTTTATGTGTAAATGTGACTATGTATTTTAAAGTGTTTTGTGTCTTTTTGCAACCATGTGCTTAATGGAGTCTGTGTCTGTCCTGGGAGATAATTGAATTACTTATCTCCAGGATAGAAGACTCTGAAACTGGTTTGGGCCAGAAAGCCATGCTTCATTTAGTCACAAAGGACTTTTTACTAACTTTTGAACCCCTTGTCTGATTTGTGCCATTTTGAATATGTTGTTCCCCTGAATGGATTGATTGTGAATATGTAATTTTATGTGAATGTGATGTATGGTTTTGGAGTTATGAAAGTTGGGTAGAAAGTATGTTTTAACTGTATGTATAATTGAGTTTCCTCTCAGGATAAGGGGAGGGAATATGTGGGATGTAACTGTGATGTGATTGGTTGTTTTGTAACGCCCCGTGGGCTGTACTATGTTTGTGGATTGGGAATAAAAGAGACTGTATGTGACAGTACAGGGAATTCCTGTTTTAACCCTCAAAGTGAAGTGTCGTCTCATTATTGGGGGAAGGATTTATTGTATGCTGTTCCAGTTTGACTGCTAGGAGAGTAAACCTATTCATATGGTTCCTATTCAACTGTCTACAGCATTCATATGCTTGAGAGCATTCACATGCTCCTACGGTTCGGTGATTGTGGTGTCTGCCAGAGTGCTTGGAGTCCTCAGGAAGCGCTAGGAGCATCCTTCAACGGAGGTACCCAGTCGGGGTGCCAGGTGATCCGTTACACTCTCTGATGGCAACTCGCACAGGGACTACACATGTCATGTCCTCGAAGGAAGAGACCCTTGACTTTTCTGGAACACTTGGCACTGCCTAGCCTAACTGTGGCCACACGGAAGGACCTCCCTCCCCTGGCTGAATTTTGTTTACCTAAAAAAATGAGCACCGCAAAAATAAAGAATTCTAAGTCATGCCCGTAAAGTCTTAATTTCCTGCCATGAATTAAATCATTTTTGTTCCTGTCAATGCAGAATTAACCACACCTTCCCTGGCTGGGACACACCCAGCCTGCAGGGGGAAAAATGGTTTAATTTTCAGTTAGGTGTTAATTTGCTTTGGAGCTTTTATTTCCATCCCTGTAAATTAACTTTAATCACACACACAGGAGGCTATTAACAGAGTAGGAGATAAGAAATTCTAAATTAAACAGAATATGCATTAAAGGGTGTTTAAATATTAGAGCTCTCTTTACAGGAAGTGTTTAGGAAGGCTGTACAAGTCACATGCAGGTAGGCATCACTAGTAATGCACAAACAAAGGAATTAACTTAAAAATGACAGAGGACTAAGCAGTGAGACAACAGGGGCACTATAATACTTCATTAAGCTAAACATTTCTTTGGTGCCTATAGTGTCCCTGGCTCTACCTCACTTGCAACATTGCTTGATTCCTTTAAAAGAGCTTTACACTGAGCTCAGAATACTGTCACACATACCCAAGGCCTTTGTGATGCAATGCCGTCACGGAGTACCATGCCCACAGGTATTCACTTGCTTGCCTGCTACTTTTCTGGTCTTCATGCTGTGGACCGCCCTATCTGCTCCTAAGGAGCTATAATCACTGTTTTTCCTGAGGAGATCCAGGGGCCTCATGCCTGCAGTCTGACCCTGGAGCTATGAATCCAAGCTAGTAGCTGCCCAAAGCGAGTTCTCTCCGGTGCTACCTAAGTGGAGATATCCACCGGAGAGATATGAGTCCGCTTCACAGCCACAGAGTCCCGCTGGCCGCCTGGAAGTCCGTGCCAGCCAATTTTTTTTAATAATCCCTGGTGGAGAATTCATACACACACACAGACAGACTGCTGAGTCCATTCAAACTGGCAGGGCAGTGGCATCTCTAGGATTCATTTTTAGGGGGGGCACATGGTGGGCCAGGGACAAAAGTAGAGAGGCACATTTAACCCCACCCTCGCCGCAGTTTGACCACGCCCCTGTCGTGTGTTAAGCTCCGCCCCTGACACAATGTGTGTTTTTTTGTTGTTTTTTTTTCAATTTGAAAATATGGTTTTATTAATGTTTCACATTGGTTAGCTTTTGGCGCCTGCTTGCCAGGGTACAGAATAGAACGGGAAAGTGCAGGAACATTTTGTTACAGCATAGGGTTCATACATTACAGCATAGGATTCCTTCAGAGTTTACCCCCTTCTGTTCCCCTCTCCTTCCCAGGTTTCTCCCCCACTCTCTTGTATCTTATGTTACCCTCTTGGGGTTCGTCTCGTCCTTTACATGTTTCATTGATTGCCCTGTTGTGTCGGTTGCTCTGTTGTGTGGCTCCGCTCTGTTGCTGTTGTCTACTGATTGCTGTGGGATTCCCCTTTTTGGGCCTTCCATCCTCTTTGCTCCCCCCTCCCTGATAGTGTCGCTCCCTCTTGGTGGTTTGTATGGTGGGTTTGTTGTTCGTGTATATACTCCTGCCATCGCCTCCCCGCTATGTCCGTATGTTTTCGCGGTCCTAGGTGTTTGTTTGCCATCAGCCCATATTGCCAGTTTAGGGAGATTTGGTCTAGTAGAGCCACTTTCGTGGGCACTATTGGAGACTTCCATGCCTTCGCTATGAGTGTTACTGCTGCTATGAGCAAGTGGAATATTAGCCTTTCCTCAGTTTTGCTCAATATGGCTGGTATCATGAATAGGATGCTTTGTTCTATGTTTAAAGGCCATGGTCTGTTTAGTATGCCGTCTGCTATTTTTTCCACCTCCCCCCAGTACTGCCTAATTTTTGTGCATGACCACCATATATGGCTCATTGAGCCCTCCGTGTCTCCGCATCTCCAGCATATATTGAGTATGTTGGGGTATATTGCTGATAACCTCTCTGGTACCATGTACCATCTATATTGTAATTTTCGTATGGTCTGTAGGTGTGTGGTGCACCGTGTGTTTCCTTTGTGTATTGTAAAGGCCCACTTCCATACATCTGTTCCCAGTGTTTTCAACAATTCTGTGTGCCATGCTTTTTGGAAACACTTGTCATTCCCTGCTTGTTCCTCTATTAGGGCAGTGTATAGTGTTGAGAGTATTTTCTTTGGGGGCCTGCCCGTCAGGCAGAGGTTTTCTGCCTTGTGTGTTGTTGATGGCTCGTTGTTTTGTATTTTGATTCCCGTGAGTAGTGATTTAATTTGTAGGTAGGAGAACAGTGCCTTGCTAGGTATGTTGTATTGGGATTTGAGTTCTGGGAAGGGTATCAGGCTGTTGTCTCTGTATAGGTGGTTAATCGTGGAACGTCGAGGGATGGGATGCCCACCGCTATGCATGAGATTGGGGCTTGTCCTTTTATTACTCTTTGGTCTCTCCCCCCTTCCTTCTGCTCATCTCAGTGTTTCAGGGTTAGGGCTGTGGTTGGTAGGGGTTGGAAAAGTTTGGGACGCAGGGATCCTGGAAGCCAAAAGAGGACTCGTAGTTTTTGTTTGTTTGTCCAGTGTGCTTCAATCTGGGCCCATTGTAGTGGCTCGCCCTCAGCTGTGGCTGTTTTGACTACTGTTAATTGTGCTGCTCTGTAGTATGCCTTTATGCATGGTAGGCCTAGTCCCCCCCCCATGACTGGTTGTTGTAGGATCTCAGACGCCACCCTTGGTCTCTTGTTGGCCCACAAAAAGCGATTGATCAGTCTCTGCATGGAGGTTATGTAGGTATTCGGCAGTGTTATCGGTAAGGTGCGTAGTAGGTATTGGAACTTTGGCAGCAGCATCATTTTGATCGCTGTCAGCCGGCCCACCCAGGATAGGAATTTCCCCTTCCAGGATTCTAGTGTGGTGGCAATCTCTTTCATGAGCGCTATGTAGTTCTTGTCTAGTAATTTGTTTAGGTTCGGTGGGATTTTAATGCCCAAGAACGTCAAGTGGTCGGACCTCCAGTCAAAGGGGAATGCTGCTTTGAGTCTCTCCAGGGTGTCCACTTGGAACCCCATTCCTATGGCTTGTGTCTTGTTTATATTTAGCTTGTAGTATGAGTGTTTTCCATATTCCGTTATAGTGGCCATCAGGTTTGGTAATGATATGTGTGGTTTGGTGAGGGTCAGTAGGATGTCATCGGCGAATAAGTTCGCTTTGTATTTCCTGTCCCCTATTTTCACTTCGTGGATGGATGTATTTTGCCGTATGGCTGCTGCCAGCGGCTCTAGAGCCATCACATATAACAATGGGGGAAGGAGGGAGCCATTGGTTATGGTGAGGGGATCTGAGACAAACCCGCGTTTAAGACCTGCACAGTGGGCATCAGTATACATCCCACTATCATGCGTTGGGCGCTATGTATGATGTTCATTACTTTCCTAGTGTTGTCGCCTCCTTGCCTATTTTTGTTAAACCCTACTTGGTCAGTGTGTATAATGTGTGGTAGTAAGGCTCCCAGTCTTCGCGCGTAAATTTTTGCGTACAATTTGGCATCTGTGTTTAATAGGGATATGGGGTGAAAATTTTGTGGGCAGGTGGGTGGTTTCCCGAGCTTTGGGAGCGTGATAATGTGCGCCAACAGTGTCTCGGCGGGCAATTTTTGTAGGCGGGTGGCTTCATTGAAGGCGTTCATTAAGTGTGGTGCTAGGATGGCGTGAAATTTTTTGTAGTAACAGTTGGCGAATCCGTCTGGGCCTG